CTGTAGAAAGAAAGTCATATTTTCCAAGTGTCATTGAACATAATGAAAATACCAACCTCAATCTCCAAAGCACTGAAAAGTGTCCCTAAGACCTCCTCTAAGAATCACTATAAATATCTTCTTCTTCCTCAACCTCTTGTAAACCCAATTTCTTTAAGTACCAATTTTCAGGATGATATGGACTGAGTGCATATGTTTCTCCAAAATATATTGAGCCCTAATCCTCAATGTGGCTGTATTGCACATAAGGAAGTGATTAAGGTTAAATGAGGTTTTAAGAGTGGGGCCCTGATCTGATAGGATTAGTGTCCTTATAAGAAGAGACATCAACTGTGCGCTCTCTCTCTCTCTCTCTCTCTCTCTCTCTCTCTCTCCCCCCTCCATGTAAGGACACAGCAAGAAGGCAGCTGTCTTCAAACCAAGAAGAAAGCCTTCACCCAAAACCGACCCTTCCAGAGATTAAGCTGGGACTTATCATTTCCAGATCTGTGGGAATATAAATCTCTGTAGTTTAAGACACCCAGTCTATGACATTTTATTATGGCAGCCAAGCAGACTAAGACACAGGATAAACATAAATCTATTTTGTTTATATTTTTTAAATTTTTCTTTCTTTTTTGTTTCCAAGAAGGATATCAAGATTTTTAAAACTATTTTTCACTACAAACATACAGCATTGCAATAATATTAAGTATTCAATAGTTTTCTATGGATGAGAACTAGACAAAGCAGCATGAATAATGTGATTTCCAAAACACTTTTGAATCTTACAGGATGATAACACCCTCCCCCTACTTTACTTTTTTTCCCTTAGTAATATTAACATCCATAATTCAACTTTACTGACAAATTGGACAGGAACAAGAAGTTTGTATTCTAAATATATGAGCTATCCACAGGATGCCTTAATCTTAAAATACAAAGTGTTCCACTGTGCTCTAGTGTAAAAAGCATTGAGAAGTGATCAAATATTGTTTTTGTCTATTAGTTCTTCATGATGACATGCAATGTACATTCTGTGTCAACAATGAGTTTGTTCATTTAGTTATTCATTCTTTCACACACTTGAAATTGATAAAAGACAGAATATGTTTGCTCTACTTACTCAATTCATCGGTGACAGAATTCCAGCTGAAATTGGTTTAAACAAAAAAGAGAATTTATTTGCTCACATAATTTCTCAGTCTAGGGTAAAGTGCTGAGAATGGTAGAACTGAGTGGCCAAAAAAGGGAAACCAGCCTCTCTTGTTACTCAGTTCTACTTTCCCCCATGTTGGCTTCTTTCTCAGGCAGCCCTTCCCAAGTGATGAAAAAGACATTTCTCAGCAGCAATGGGTTTTTATTATCCTCACAGCTAAAATCCCAACAAATGAGAATATTTCTTTCTCAATAAGCCCAGCAAAGGTCCTAGGGAGCAATATAATGGGATTTGCTAGGGTCACATGTCCACCCCTGACTCAATCACCTGAGTCCAGAAGAATAAAGTACCCTTATGGGTCAGACCTTGGATTCTGTGCATTCCAGGAACTGAGGGTAAAGTTTGCCCAGCCTCAATGCATGGACCAAGAATGGGAGATGTGGTTCCTTGTGGAGAAACTAGACTGGAGAGTAGAAAAAAAAAAAAAAAGCTGATAAATGTACTCTCATTCTATTTCACATCCCGAGTTATGTCCAGTCATATTGTTCAACATAGCATATCAAAGTCCGAAGGCATTAAAATCCAAAAATCAAATTCTCCTCTGAGTTAAAGTTTAAAGGAAATCAGGTTCTCTGATTTCTTGGTGTGTTCATTCTCAGCTGCAGGAGTTTTTCCATCAGCACTGCGATCAGAGATATCTCTCACTGCAATTGAGAGGTAGTTATTCTAGGCAAAAATATTATTCCCAGAATACAGTATTTGTTGAGATTTAGTGATATCCAAAATAGGAAGGGAAGATGGATTGCTCTCATCAGGATACCAGGAAGTCTATGCAATTGTCCAGAATCCATCATCTGTCAATCTAAATCAGGATGTATCTTCCCACAGTAAGTTAATTTAGGCACTATGCATTTACCATATCTGGGGAAGGCGGACCTCCTACATAAACTGTCTCTTTTCTTACAGAATAGATTTGAGACATTGCTGCCTTCTGGCAAAGTTATAAATTTACCTCAAGCACAACCCAAGCACCAGCTCTTATGTGAGATTTCTTTCTTTTTCATCCCGTGGATCCCAGTAGATTTCCATTTCCCCTTTGAGCTCTGGGTTCCCAGCATTTACGTGCTGCACTGATGCAGAGTTCTACTGAGTATCACAACCTTCAGAATATCTTGGGGCAGGCAGTCACTTTTTCAGTCCCTATTTTAGTGTAGATAGCCACGGCTCTTAACATATACTTACTTATGCCTAAGACGCTCACTTCTAAAGGAAGTTGTCACTCTTTCTCACCTTTATTTCAGCTGAAAGATCTCCGTTTTCAGACTCCCAAACTGAAGCTGCTTTGGGTGCTTCTTAGTGCTGTGCTCCTAGCAGCCTAGGGAAGACCAGTACCTCTGCCCCATGTGCCTCATGAGCGCCTCATCCCTAGCTCTCCTCCGCTTTTGAATTCTATAAAGTTCTCGGGCATGTTACCTCGGGGCACTGGCAATACCTACTTGTTAACCCTTTGTATTACCTTGAAACTCAGAAACTTTTTAAAATTTCCACTTCTGAACATAGGAATTGAGATTCAGTATCCTCTTGCCTCTTCTTACCCATACACAGATTTTTAAGTATTCACATCTCCTCCACAAAGCCTTTGTTTTCAGGAGACGTAGTCCTGCCTCTTACTCTGGAAATAAGCCAGTTTGGTTTAAACCAAGCTGCACAATCCATTCTCCCAGCAAAAATGGCTGGTGGGCATGTAACCTAAACTAGTCCAGTTAGGGTGAATGCTAGGACTTCTGCTTGTAAAAGCTAGAGAAAGCATCTTTTCTCCCCCTACTGGTTGTGAAAACAGAAGCATGTGGCTGGAAGCTAACCCACAACCACAAGAGGCGAACATGGTAGAACTTGTAGGGAAAAATGATTGTCTTTGTCAAAGTACCATCTTGTAGGACTCTGCATTTATTCCAAAGAATAAACTAATTTAAGAGACTCCTCTTTGAGAATAGAGTTCCAAGTCTACAACATATTTCTTTTTATACATATATAGTCACTGGTGGAAAAGCTCTGTCTTTGAGGGGGTGTTTTCTTTTTTAAACACCAAGAAGCTACTTATAACCGAGAATAAATAGATAAATGATTAGTTTGAGTAATAGTATCTCTGAGTTTTTTAAAAAAGAAAAACTTTTTACTTGTGAGTGGTTTCCTTGTTGCTAAAACACTGGACCCGGAGGCAGTATCTCCTTTTGAGAAAATATAACCACTGATGTTCATTGTGAGAAGAAAAAGTCTTCAGTTAATTGCAGCTTAGTAAACTTTGGCTTTTCTTTGACACTTTTAAATATTTAGATTCTACTGAAATCTCAAAACAGCTAATCCTCAAAAAAAAAAAAATTTAGCATCTGAACATTCTTTCTTAAGGGCTAACACCTCAAATTTACCTTGTCAAATTGACAGGGCAACCATGAACACTGCCATATTAACACCTGCATATGGCAATGTAGCATGAAGACACCGTAAAGAGGACATTTCAAAGTTAAATGTACATCTTTCTCAGTCTTGTGTTCTCAGCCAGCCA